TGCTCGGACGATGATTTGGAAGAATCAATGGAGACATGGAGTTCGAGATGAAGCGACAATGCTAGGCCGATGACATCGAACCCAGGGCCGATATTGGCCGATGAACAGGGAGTTCTGATAATAAAGGAGGAGACAGACATCGCAGTATCAGGGACGTCAAATATGGCCAGATCAACAGTCTGATTGGAAAGGCATGAAAAGGAGAATAGAAGTGTGAAAAGGGAGATAATTGGATTAAATGAACGATTTGGCTGAGATCTCTGTAGTAGTAGATACTGAGTAATTATAGTTGAACCTACAGTGACTCTTTCAGTTCTTGGCACACACCACAGAGGTAAAAATCAAATTACTAAGCGGACTGCATCTATTCCCATCGTGGGCTCGGCGCGTTTCGTACGATCCATCCAAAAAAAAGAACCAGCCGACGTCGGGGCTGGATGGGAGGCTACTTAGTACCTCTCTATAGCCTACAGTATTATCATCATTGGGCTGCAAAACAAAGCATGTTAATAGCAGAAAGCGCATTATATGCTTGTTACTTCTTTCAGTATGAGTGCATGGTCATAATGATAATGACTATAGAGTTGGAATGATGAATCAAGCTATTCAATATTTTCTGGTGATTATTATTCATTGTGATGTTATGCATTACGCTGCATGTCATACCTTACCTATCTACCTCACCTAGACAGTACGGTCTTTACATGGATATCAGAAATGCAGCGACCCTGCCTGCTAAACCAGTAGTTAATGTTTTATTGCTCCTGCTAAGGGGATATCTTTCAGATATTCAGCCCTATGACACAATGATAGTGGTATTTTGTAGATATATGAAGGAGTAATTATCGCACAGTAGAGAGGTAAATCTAGCAATTATACTAAGTGTAATACTAGAATGAATAAGAAGGGCTGCTGCTCGCCACCATATTAATTTATTATCTAATTGGGAGCGTCAAAGATATCTTAAATTTCTCTATTTCTATTTTTCCATGTGTATCGGTACAACTTAGCTGTGATTCTAGATTTGCCTCCGAGTACTTGATTTTGGCATAGCCTATCTATGCCATTCTACACAGAACCTAGGGGAGTAGTATGGAAAATTTCCCTAGTGGTAAAGTAGGGACGGGAGTATGTCCCTCAAAGGTAGGCGGTTTGACAGGTGGTCTTCATACCTAGATACGCTGTAGGGAGAGAGGTAAATGGCTGTAGGAACGGAGTGACGGCTGCTTATTTCTAGGAGGTTTATTTTATTACTATTACTCAGTGCCTACCTCTACTTAATCATTATCAAGGGTGAAGGCAATTGGAAGCTTTTGTGTAAAGAAAAAGAGTAAATGCTGCTCAATGTTGAGTACCAATCTAGCACTATTCCTTAAGCAACTGAACTGTCTTGCATCCAGTGGATAACTAGAAAAGGTAAGCTACCCGCCTTTATGGCTCCATACGCTCAGTTTTTTTGCCCCTCTTTTTCCTTTTTTTTTTTTTTTCCTCCTTTCTAATGTATCGGTGACTAGTGTGGTTACCTTTCCTTAAAAACCATCGTCTAGGTCTTCTTGTCTTTCCACCTCGAGTACTACTCATTTCAACCCACCTGGGTGTACACCCTTTTCAACTATTTGTCTTATAGGATTACAGTATCCTATTTATTTATTGCATTCGGTTGGATTCTTTGATTCTGTCTCTGTGTGCAGATCGGTGGTTCAGCCGTTTAGCATCTCTTGTTGGTGTAGACTGAATTTATCGGTTTTTAATTCCCTTGGGAAAAGCCCTCCGCATCACACGCCTCTGCTCATCAACCCGTCGCTGGGTTTGAGAAATCTTGCATCGTCGACTCTTTTTGATTTGCACATCTATCGCTTTTACTTGATTGCTAATTTTTGTTCTTGATTGGCTCTCTGTTGACTTACGAGCTATATTTCTCTCTTGTTCCAGCGGGATTCTTGCATTAACGTCATCGACAAGAGGATCTGCGGTGTATCTCGACAAACCTCTTTAGAGAGCCCACTTGTCGACACAACACCCCTATTATCGCAATCCTGGAGCGACAAGGCTCCTATCCTCATTACACAGTCAAGTTGGCGGGGACTCGCTGCAACCGGACCTCTCTCCTCCACCCTCTTTTGGGCCCCAAGTTCAGGGTCTTCTGCGGGGGCGACACCAGACCCCCATAACTAGGCTTACATAGCAAACTTTCAATTTTGGCACAAACAAGTACATCGGTAATGCCAGGCCCTCTAGAGGGGTCTGGCTAATGGATGGAGGAGCACTATTTTCCGGAGTGCCTTCATAGTCTGTCGTCTTTCCTCGCTTGAACGTCAAGAAACGAATCAGCACCCTCACGAAGTTCTCGCACCTGCGCTTTTCCTAACGTCATCGGTCGATCAACTCTTAACAACTGTGCTTGCGACGACGTCGAATCAGCAACAATGTCTGAATCGCCGAAGTCCGAGAAGTACATGTGTCTGACTCGGTTCAGCACGCCAGTCCCTGAATTAGATGATCATCGATTTCAACTCGATTCTCCACCCCGTATTGAAGCTACCGCTGATATTTCTCCGAGTCGGCAAAACACTGCTCAGCATGCCTACCCTCTAGAGACGCCTCAGCGTCCCGATTTGCTCTCAATTCAAGATGCGCTTCGGGAAGCGGGGTCGCTTTCCCGGGATTTCGAGCAAGCTATAATGGATGATGATCGATCAGGCAAAGATGTTAATGCGCTGGGCCGTCGTTTCTCCGTTGACCCAACCAGTAATGTCCGCCATGGCCGTACGTGGAGCCGAACCCACCAGGAACTTGCGAATATGTCACGAGAATCATCTCCATCAGCTAGGTCATCGTCGCCTCCGAATTCGGTTGAAGCCTTCGCAGACCCCCGCCGCCGTGAGCGTGCGAATACACTGGAGAGCCATGCGGCTCCAGATCTTGAGGCCATTCTGCAGCGCACAGTGTCCGGCGGTACTCATCCCCGCCGCCCGACCTTTAGTAACGCAAGTGCTATTAGACCGCAGCCAGGTGATATCCAGCTAGAAGCGAGTGACGAGACTTGCGTGCCGACTTATGAGCAACCTGGCAGGATCCCTGTGATCGACTACGAGGAATTGGAGGAATTTGTGGCTCTGAGCCGGCAAATGAAGCCCTCGACTACTCGGCGTAAGCAGAGTCTAAGCTCTCAAAGTCGGGGACCTCGCATTTTCTATGATCTGCGCCCAGGATTTCGGAAGGCTGATGTTGAAGGCGAGAAGCGTTCTTCGAGTGCTGATCGCTCTTCGTCGGACCTCATGGACGCGGATCTGAAGACAACCGATATGGTCTATGCGAGCGTCGTGGACGAAAAGGACATAGTGGAAAAGCTTCAGAATGAGAACGAGCCGACCCGCTTCGGATTTTTCTCATCCGAGTCCCAGAGCACTGTGCATGCGGCCGAGCTAGGGGACCTTGTGCTCCCTGGTGATACTTTCAGGGATCTCTTTCAACTTGGCCCGGAGGGAGGTGTGTGGTGGCTGGACGTACTCAATCCGACGGAGGAAGAAGTTGCCGCACTCTCGCGGGCCTTTTCCATCCATCCACTGACTACGGAAGATATCTTGACTCAAGAAGCCCGTGAAAAGGTTGAGCTTTTCAAGCAATATTACTTTGTCTGCTTCCGGACATTCTATCAGCTCGACAAGACAGACGAACGCTTCATGGAGCCCGTCAACTTCTACATGGTTGTTTTCCGCGATGGTGTTCTCTCATTCTCATTCACCGAGAATCCACACGCGGCAAATGTCAGAAAGAGAATTGGGAAGCTCCGTGATTATGTCTCCCTCAGTAGTGATTGGATCTGTTATGCCATGATGTAAGTCGCAAGGGCATGATTCCCGAATGAAACCATCTGTTCTAACGTCGGCACAGTGACGACATCGTTGATAGTTTTGGGCCTGTCATCCGAGAGATTGAGATCGAATCTGAGGCAATTGAGGACCTCGTTTTCATCGCGCGCGTCGACGACTTTGAATCCTTCTTACCACGGATCGGTGGCCTCCGTAAGAAGGTTATGAGCTTGATGCGCCTTCTAGGTGGCAAAGCAGATGTCATTCGCGGTTTCTCCAAGCGTTGCAACGAGCAGTACTCCGTCACGCCGCGTGGGGACATTGGCCTGTACTTAGGTGACATCCAAGATCACGTGGTGACCATGATGTCAAATTTGGCCCATTTCGAGAAGATGCTCAGCCGCTCCCATGCCAACTATCTTGCGCAGCTCAATGTCACTAACCTGGTGCTGGGTAATCATGTCAATAAAGTTCTGAGCAAGGTGACGCTGATCGCCACCATGTTGGTCCCGATGAATCTGATCTGTGGTCTGTTCGGAATGAATGTCCGAGTTCCTGGTGAAGGGGAGGATGGCCTGGGATGGTTCTTCGGCATTGTGGGGGTCATTGCTGCTATTATCGTTCTCAGTGGTATAGCTGCTCGGTATTACAAGCTTGTTTAGAGCTGCGTGTATAGTTTTTGTTGCGGTTTATGTGTCCTATAATAACAAAGTATATACGGTTTTCGCTTATAATGCATTGGACTACCTATCTTTTCTTGAACTAGTTGTTAATATCTACTACTTTAATTAAAAGTGCCCTCCGGCTGCGCACGTTGGTCTTTGCATGACAGGAGATGATACGATCATATGGAGACTTGCGACTGAAGAAGTAGAGTGAGTGGCTGTGCCGTTTTTGTGGCGCAGATGCCTTCAAAGTCCTGAACTATCAATAGAGGAATGCCGCTTGTCTACTCCGTAGATCAGAATCGATTGAGACTGAGCCGGGTTTCTCTAGCTTCGACAACTCTCGCGACGAACTTCCCCGCGAAACATTTTCATAGCATTGCTTCGCGCAGGTGTCCCGCCATGAGAGAAAAGCTGTTGCCTTATCTCTGGTTGATTCTGTAATTTTCGAGCCAGAGGTGGATATTGTTCTTCGGAGCTCACTCCATTGATGCAACTATCCAAGCGGACTGATTTTTCATCTATGCATTACCTTTCAGCTGCATATTTCGGCGCCTTAATATTATACTCCCCTATCTTTCTCTTCGGGCCGTGCCTTGCTCTTGACCCGCCCTCGGATTCCGCCTTTGTGATCTCCAGCAACGATACGAATGTAATTCTACACGACATCGCACAACAATTCACACTCCCCCATGGATCATACAGTGGACTTGAGGTTCAGGATATCGTGAGCGAAAATGGTGAGACTCGAGGTCTCGACCTCGTTCGGAGGATTCCACCTGGCGTATCATCTCTGGGGAACAATCAGTTCAAGACCAGCGATATCAAGCTTGGAGAGACTCAATGGTGGTATTTTCCCAAGGAGTCCGTAAACGGCAAGAAATCTAACGCCACATCCGGGCTCCCCGAGGGTATCTCTGTTGACGGAACAAGCGAGCAAACTGTCAGTTCGGACGAACTTCGGAAGCGCGACGGAGACATCGTGAAGCGCTCGACCTCCGTATATCTTTCTCTGACGATGTGCTCAAAGCCCGAGATCAACAATACCAATGGCACTATTCCAGACTCTGTCCCATCATTACCAGAATTGAATTTATACGTTTCTACCTCAGAGTCACTCCAAAAACCGGGCCCAGGACAAGATACCTCAAAGCAGAAAGTGTTCACGGCCGATGAGGGCTATGTGGGAGCTTCTGTGCAGGTAGACGGGGATGTGTTCATTGGGATCGCAGTGCAGAATTCGACGGCGTACTCGGGGAGCTACACATATGAGGTTGCTGCCTCAATCGACGCTTACTTTCACAGCATTGTGGACGAGCCATTCTTACATTTTGTTGACTCGGACATCCATGCTGCACTCTTGACAACAGACAATTTGACCCTTTCCGAAGAGGGGAGCGAGAATTATCAGCAGTGGATGAATCTCACACCGCCGTTCACAATGTTTGCTCATAATGTGAATGATACGGCAATCTCAGGTCTTCAACGGTCATACTGTGCTCTTGAACGATTAGCCCAGATTGGAAAAGGTGACCACGGGGTTGAAGGTAGTATGACGAACCGTGGTCTGGGCAAGAAACCTAAGGAGCAGTTCTACATCACCGGTCTCAACCGGACTTCCAATTACTCTGGAATTCTCGCAATGGATGGAAACTCCACCAACTCAGGGAACGGGATCGTTGGCGGAGGAGGGAGGGTCTGGAAACCTATGTACTTTACAACCAAGTCAGGTGAGCAAGCCAGTAGTCTGTAACTCTCTTTCGTATCGAACGAAGGTGCTAACCTGGACCAGATGACAATTGTGCCGTCCTTTTCAACCTGACATTCTGCTCCGAAGTTGCGTACGCAGTCCCATCAAACCCTGATCTTGGGATCGCACAACTTGGTTCGAAATACGACCAATATGCCGAGTCTCTGTACAGAAACTTTTCCTATTCCCTGGATCAAATCCAATGCAACACGACCAACGAAACCAGCTTCTCTTTGGCTGTGGGTTGCAACGACTGTGCGGATGCTTACAAGCAATGGCTCTGTGCGGTGACTATCCCTCGTTGCGCTGACTTCTCCAACAACGGTTTGTTTCTCCAGGTCCGAAACGCGGGCCAACAATTCATCAACGGCAGCTCTCTCAGTCCCACCGATCCCAGGCGCAGGGATCCTGCGCAGAACAAGTCGCGCAATTCCATGATAGACGATCAGATCCGCCCGGGTCCTTACAAGGAGATCTTACCGTGCCAGGACATCTGCTACAGCTTGGTGAAGCGCTGTCCCGCCGCCCTTAAGTTCAGTTGTCCTCAGGATAAGTGGCTCAATTCTGCCTACGGCCAGCGCGGTTCGAGCAGCGAGATCACCTGCAGCTATCCCGGGGCAGCGTATGACTTGAACGCTGGATGGACCCTCCGCGAGCCTCTGGGATGGCTCTTACTTGCAATGGGGAGCTTTTGGTTATCTTTCTGGGCTCTCAGGTTGGACGCTTAAATGCACACTATTTTCCAAGGATTCTTCCCATTGGAGCGAAATCGCGGTGCTGAATAATCATGTCTTTGATCCTGGTTTCGATGATACCCTCCCTGGCTTTAGATCTATTGTTTGCTACCTATTCTTGAAAGTTTACCATTGCATAGCTAGTTGAATTGCATTTTCTGCATGATTTCATGGACTTTAGCTACCAAGAAAATTAGCACAAACCGTGACATGGCTGCAATTGGGCATCGCCCCGTCCGCATGAGTGCATAGCAACCTGTCGGGGAATGTGACCTTGTTATATCATGATCAAGAGAATGGCATCTGCCTTGTGAGATTTAGAATAACTGAATAACTGCCTCGCAATGCAACCCACCAGCAACGCCAAACATCCCAATCATCCGGAGAAAAATCTATCAACCATAAAGTAATGGCCCAAGGGAACACATAAGACAGATCTTGCCGGCTCGTAGGAAAAGGTCACCAATCATTTAGCTCTCCTGGGAGTCGGGGTCCACATATTCTTCAGACTTGAGGAGCTTGCTGCCGGTCGAGGTGTGCTTCCAACCCGTTGCAGTAGATTCTGCGCCGCAGGAGTCAAAGCCTTGCCCTGTCCGCTGGATGCAGCAGCCGCAGGGGTACGTAGCCCAAAATCCAACCGAGGGCTGCTCGCGAAACGAGGCGTTACGGGCGTTCTAACCTCGCGCGCCGCCTTCTCGGCGCGTTTCGTTCTTGCTACCCGGTCGACCATGCGGTGGTGCAGATCTTCGCGTTTGCGGTTCTCCCTGATCGAGAACGGGTTGGGGGCAGAGTCGCTCGCCCCGAGCAGGCGAAGATCGTCACCTGACAAGGATGTCGACTCTGAGGTTTCCGCGGCAGCATGGTCGTAGTCCAGTTCGGGCTCGTCCTCGTCGACAAAAGCATATCCGTTAACCCGTGGCGTCTCCCCCGCGGCGTATCCCGCTTCGGATTCGGTGAGTCGGGGCCGGCCAGCAATGGCATCTTTGATGGCAGATATCGATGGCGAGGGAGGGATGTCGTTGCCCTCAGCCGCAGAAGAACCGTGCCTAACACTCGGCTCTGGCAGCCTGGTATTCTCGTGCACCACTCGCTTAGGCCCCGCGCGCGAAGCCGCTTCAGCTCTTTGTGAAATCGTCTCCTGTGTATCCTCTATCGAAGACGGCATGAACATGAGCGAGTTCTCCGGTCTGGACTTCCACGTATCCGGTTTTGCGGGCCGGGCGTCCAAATCCGTCTTGATCGCTAGCTGTCGCTCAGTACTGCCCCCCTGTGCTGCGATGCGTTTCGCTTCCCGTTGTCGATGGGCAATCTGCCGAGCCGTAGGAATCTTGTTTTCACTCCACAGCCAGGCATACTTCTCCTGACGCTTGGCATTCTGCTTGTCCAGCAGTCTATTGAACGACTCGTTGTCCTCGCTGGTGTATTTGGCTTGAAAAGCCATGAGCCCCAGATTGGTGATATCTGGGATATCTTTTTGAGCAGTCTCAGGCATTGTAGTAATCGTCGTTGAGATCACCGACCTCGGCGTATCACCTTGCCAGCCGGTTGGGGTGTCGTCCAGTCGTTCTGTACCATGGAGCCGGGGAACGCTGCGAGCTCTGCCGGGAGTCTTCAACAAATCCGTGAGTTTCTTTTTCGAACTCGAAATCCACTCTTTGTTCTTCGATTCTAGTGCGTCTAGGTACTCCTGCTTCACTTGCTCCTCCAGCAGTCCGGGAAAGTAGTCACGAGCAATAATCTCCGATAAGGCATTCGTGTAGACATCTTCGTCCAGAACCGTGGCTGGCCGTTTAATCCGCTTCGGTGGAGGAGGAGGGGGCATAAGGCTTTGCTCATTTTGACGTTTGGTCAACGCTTGCGACGGAGTGGAGGACATATTGAACGACTTCGAAGGGTGGGCTGCCAGGGCTGAAAGTCAAGAAAAAGAGCCTGTTCAGATGAGCAATTGTCCAAATGAGAGCCGCATGCTGATAATCAGTGACCACATGATTTCCTTGTGCGTCCTTCCTGCCTTCCTTCCCCTCTTCCTTTCTTCCAGGCTTTCTTTCTGCCTTTCTCTCAAGAAGTGGAGATAAGGATCGCGGAAGTGGCGCCTGGCGGACGACGTCACGTTATCTGGGTTGATAGTTCCACTACCAGCTACGGAGTACAGTTTTGTACCTATCCGATATCTTCAACGGAGAGCAACTTTTCTGTACAGAACAATGAGATGCACCCGCCAGCATCGCTGATAATACTTAGAATTCATTCTTCTTTTGCTTCTCGCCAAAATTAAACACGGAAATCAGGCCAATCCATGCCTCTCTATGTGTACAGAGCTGTGTCCAAGATTCAACAAGAGACGTCATCGGGACCCAAAAAAAAAATTCCAGCCAGAAGATCACAACAACAAGGAAAAGAAAGCAAAAAGAAAAGTCAGAAGGCAGGAATGAACGTGATCTGACTTGCAAAGTACCCTATCCCATCCACTGCATTTTCCGAACCGCCCATGCCAGATAAACACCCAACAGACATCTCTTCGTTTTGTCCCCCAAAACAGCCGCTGAGAAATGCAAATCGAATCTAAATCACTGACGCAGAGAACACCGAGAGTGCAAGGTTGAACGAAGGTATGCAGATAAATCAACAAAATTCAAGATATATGAAGGTTTAACCCTCAGCAGGATGCTAGCAACAAGAAAAAGAGAATCGTCAAGTCGTGGAAGTGGTCTATGGAGCGATTGGTCGGTTTGAAAGGAGTAAAAAGGAAGCACAAAAGATTGAATGGGTGAAACAAGAGAGCGAAGTGACAGCACGCTTCTGTCAAGGTCGATTCATGCTTTTGGAGCAAAAGGCGCTGATAGCGAATTGCTTGTAACAGTTTCAATTCGCTGCAGGAGTAGGGAAAAGGGAGTATGATGTTCTGCCTTTTCGTCGATTGGGACTTTTCACAGGGATTGGGGGAAGTGGTGCTGAAGCATTACTCCTAGTAGTCCTAACGGTCCGTGGGGCCTCTACCTCAGATGTTGATTTGGCTCTATCGTGAACCAAACCGCTTGTCCGCGCCGGGTCCACAGGCCCGGGGCTGGAGTTATTTTCACCTCGCGACATGATCTGCGTCTCAATCTCTCGTGCCAGACTCTTGGTCTGCCGGTGGTGGCAAGAAACCTCCGTACGGCCTGCCGACAATGGCGCTGTATAACCCGACTGCTCTGTGGAGGGCAAGTGCTCCATGGATGGCAGTTCCCGGCTGCTCGCCAGGCTATGCACCAGCTCTGGGACGCTGCCCGTCGAGACAGAGGAACGATGTTTGCGCGCAATCGACGCGGCACGGGAAAGTATCAGGCTCTCCTGCGAGTTGCACTTGCTGATGGGAGAAAAGCTGCTTCGGGGAGACACCGGATGGTCCATAGCGTGAATTAGTCCCTGTGAGCAAAAGGAGAAATGCCGGTCAGATTCCGCATCAGCCGCCAAGTACTCCTCGTACAGGGTGTCATGCATCATCTGTTTTCCGATAGCAGAGGGGAAGATTGATGAATTGACAGGCTGGAAATAATCTCCGCCCTTAGAGACGGTTTCACTCTCATACTCTGCGCTGGACGGGGTCACAGCTACTTGGGAGCTGAGTAACGAACGGGCCGGGCTGGGATTCAATTCCGGACTGGGTAAACGCGACGTGCTGAGGCGTACAGGGTGACGAAGCTCGACGTGCTTGCCTTCGTTTGCCGGCCCCGCACAAGCTGCTCTTGGGTCATCATCGTTATCAGCCGCACGAGCCTCATCCAGCGAATTACCTGACCAGTCAAAGTCAAACGTCGACTCCGCCGCATGCTCGTAGCAATAATCGATGTCAGCATCCCAAGATTCATAGATGGTTTCATAAGCGGGTTTGCGGCGAGCGGACGAACGCCTGCGAATTGGCCCTCCAACCATTTGGTCGCCAGCATCCTGGAACAGACGATACTGTGGAAGAGTAGGAGAGCCGAGTGCCTCGGAAAACTTTCTGGAGAGCTCCTCAGCAACGCAGATGGATAGTTGAGACTTGTGATGCTGAACAGACGGTATTGGCACCTCGGCCGACGGGTCTATCTGAGATGAAGATAGAGGCATTGCTGTGTCGGCATTCGCCTCGCGGCTATGATGCCAATGAATGATGCCCTGTCCCTCCGGTACTTCTTCTAACACAGGCTTGAGGTTAGGAAGAGAGACGGTGGAGGTCTCAGCGTCTATTCTTTCGGTGTTCGCGTCTGTAGTGACAGTATGTTCTGGTTGAAACGAAAATATTCCTTCAACTCTAAACTGGGGCAGAGAAGAGCACTGTTCCACGTCGTCTGTATTGCCATACACGTGCTCAGGGTATGTGGGCTGAGAGGACAGACCCAGAATCTCATCAATGGCGTGTGGTGCGGGCTCAGACAAGTCTGGCGAAGCTGTCAGTTGAGGGGAAATCGTGCTCGGTGGCGGAGTGGTGGAGCCGGCCCTGGGATATCTTGGCACAGGCCGAGAGAAGTTCTCAAAGACGCGCGATTCTCTTCTGGCCCTATAATCTTGCTGTTTCGGACTGATTGAAAATGAAACGCTTGGAGAAGCTGGTGGGCTTGTCGGAGTTGGAGAAGTTCGATGCTCTGCAATAGCTGCTCCGCCATTTGTGAGATCTTCTGATGAGAAGCCTCGAAAATGGAGATCGTCTGCCCGGATGCCCTTGAGTCCCGTCATCGGTCTCTGAGAGGCACGGATGGCAGAAAATTCGGTGACGATATCATTTTCTCTGGCTTTATCCAGCGCCTGGAATTGGGACGGATTCGTATGGGTCAGATGGTGGAAATCAAAGGGATTGGAAATGAGGCTCTTCAAATGTTCATCTGTATACCAATGTTACCGAGGGAGTCAATTTGAAGTCTCTTTCTCTCTAGCGAATATTACCCTTGGGTTTCTTGGTTGGGGGGGGGGTGGGCTTTTTGTTTTTTTTTTTTTGGGGGGGGGGGGGGGGGGGGGGGGGGGAGAGACTTACGGGC